TTGGTAAACTGAAATGTTAATTTCTCAAAAATCAATAACATGAACCATACATTATAATAACGTTACATAATGTTTTAAGGATAATTTAAAGTAAACAAAAACTCAAACTATGACAACAACCTTCGTCTACAGCTAAACTGCATTCTCGTTTACATTTTGAAAGACATATATTTTATCCCTGATGTGTACAACTGTGATGTAGCAGGAAAGGATTTCAGAGTCCAAAAAGTCACACATCAGTAACAGCATTTTCATCCTGGACACCAGTTTCATGTCCATTTGGGACCATTATTCTTAGACTTAAGTTTTGTGTTTGCTCATGACTTCCTTTCAGTTTTCGCTGGCTGTTTGGTGAGGTTCACCCACTAATTCTGCATGGTTAGGTTTAGGAAAATATCATGCATTTCCGAACACTTTCACAGCAATAGCTGCTTGTTTGAGCCTGGTTAAGTTCAGGCACCAAGATTACTTAGTTTGGTTGACGTAAATAGCACAGTTTTAGTTAAAATACAACTTTTCCACCACATGTTTGAAGCTTTTTCTCCATTTTCTTGGTTACGATGGTGAAAGAGTCCAGCGCTATCTGATATATGATTAGTTGGATAAAAAGGATTGACAGTAAAGCAATAAAATAAATGGCGAAGATATGTGGATTTTAAATGTATTTGTGATACAGCACCAACGAGATGTAATCTGGCAGAGAATAAGTTGCCTTTAAAACATAATTGAGAATGCCGTTCAGTTGTATAGGAATGGATTTTTTTTGGGAGACCAAGTAGATAAGAAAGAGATTTTGAGAGGACAATGGTAAGTTTGTTTATCATTGGAACTATGCAACAAAGGAAAAATGACTGTAATACTTTGCACCCTCTATTCCTACTTGGGCGGGCCTCTGGCTCAGTAGAGAGATCACAAGCAGACACTGTTGAGTCCATCACTCTCCCCCTCGTTTCCCCCAGCAAGGAAGATGAACCATTCGGTCACAAGCAGTATAACACTCCTGACACACAACTACATGCACACATGCAGGCTTGCACATCTATCCCAAAGACAGGCACACACACTCACTTCCTCTTTCTGTCTTCCCTTAAGTTATGTCAGTATAATTCAGCGCTTGAGAGACAGTCCTTCTGTAAGATTCTCGACAGCTGGTGTGTGCCGCACAGATGCAGAGCATGCCAATAATCTGTTGAAATCCTTTTATTCTTCGTCTCTATCTGAAGACAGATTTAGAACAGCGCCACTTGGTCCACATGAATGAACCTGTCTCACTGAATAACTTTTTTCTTTCTTTTTTTTTTCCCATGGAGAGAGTTGGGGTGGGTAGGGGCGGGGTATTCTCACATTGTTTCATCTGTTTTCAATTCGGGGAATTGAAATGTAAAATGTGTAACATCTGATGATTGCTGGTTTTCATTCTGGCACAGCGGGGACAGCAGCATAATGTGAAGACGAAATTAGACGAGGAAGAAGAGAAGAGCTATATCTTGCACTGGTGGAGCTCACTATGCATTTATGTTCTTGCTGCTCTGGCAAAAAGCAGTCAATTAAAAACCTGCATTGATGTGAGGATTATGCTATTAGTTGAGACCAGCATTCTCATTAGCTGCTGTGCCACTGTTCGACAGAGCTGTGTGGTAAGATAGAGGGAGAGAGCTTGAGAAAGTCTCTCCTCTGGTCTGATGAGCGCTGGTTTGCCATGCTGTCTCTGGTAAATCTGTCTTGTCTTTTTTGGCTCTATGGATTACCTTTGTGTCGGCTGTGAACATTTTCATCATCTGTCGGCTCATAGGCAAAAGAAAAACATAGTGCCTACGAGTTTAGCTGTAGTTTTCGTAGCTTTTGATGCCTGAAGTTTGGATTTATCCTTGAGATTATTAAACTTAGATGTGAAGCTGAGATGGGTCACGCAATTAGCTGAAGATGCTTTAATTTAGGCAAAAACACCTTCAAATGTGTCAGCCTTATTGTCTGCTTTAAGGAAACATATTTAAAAGAAAATGGAGACAAAAATTAGAGGAGAAGTGATTGTGCTTATGAAATAAAAGAAAACAAAGACTTGCTTTGTACAGAGAAACTGAGAAGCTTTCTAGGGGCTTCAATCCATTAGAAAACCATTAGAACCCCCATTTTAAAAACTAAGTCTCAAGCGTGTCTGGAACAACACCTATTTGTAGTTTTGTTTTGGTTTTTTTTCAACAAGCATAAACAAAAAAACAAATGAAAAGCACATGCCATTTTTAGCAGTGTTGTTGTTTACTGCAATCACTTACGGTTTTTACAGTGGTGTACCCACGATTGCCAGGCATATGAAAAGTCTGTGTTTCTGTATATATTTTAACCCTATGAACCCCAAACAGTTTTTGGTAATTTCTTTGCTCCTGTCACATTTTCTTTACACTTTGGGCTTTTTTCCCCACTGCAATATAAAATCTTGGACCTCTAGGAAAACTGCACAATCATGGCTAGAAGTAAAGAGAACTCTAAAATGTCCTTTGTTTAATATGATGATTGTAATGTCATAAGTCATGCAAAAAGAAAGAATGAATATTTAATTTATTAGATTTTATTTTATTTTATGAAAATTTTACATGGGCTGCAAGGTGGTGCAGTTGGTAGCACTGTTGCCTCGCAGCAAGAAGGTTGCCGGTTCGCATGCCGGTGAGGACACCTGGGTCTTTCTGCGTGGAGTTTGCATGTTCTCTTAGTGCAGCGTGGGTTCTCTTCGGGTTCTCCGGCTTCCTCCCACACAGTCCAGAAACATGTTGAGGTTAATTGGTGATTCTAAATTGTCCGTAGGTGTGAATGTGAGTGTGCTTGGTTGTCTGTCTCTAAGTGTAGCCCTGTGATAGACTGGTGACCTGTCCAGGGTGTCCCCTGCCTTCGGCTGGGATAGACTCCAGCCCCCCACGACACTAGTGAGGATTAAACGGTGTATAGATGAAGGATGGATGGAAATTTTACATGACAAGCTATAGATATTTTACGAATTACATTTTTGTTTGTGTCTTGTCTACTATCTACTCTGTGTGAACACAGAAAGTTATTTTGATGAAATGTCACAACTTCAAGTTTAGATTTGGTTAAATTTTATGACATCACAGATGATTGTTTTTAATAGGCATTGGAAAGGTGAACATCTAGTAATTCTGGTTTTGGGGCATTTAGCTCAGATTTCCCAGGGTTAAAAGTCTGTCACTTTTTACTTTATATACTTTATCGAACCTTAAGTGTGGCAAAGTAAAAAGAAAAAAAAATGCAAATACTATGGTATGGTATGGTTCAATTTTGTATCTTTTAAGTCAGTGCCAATTCACTTTTTTTTCTTTTTTTTTTTCCGCATGTATTGATAATGTATGTGATAAGGTACTGAAAATAGCACTGTTAGCAACTGACTATTCATCAGTATTACAAATGCTAACCTGGATCGCTTAACAGTGCTCATTTAGCTTATACGGGTATATGCATCAGTAATTACTAGATACTTATTCTTTAGAGTGGGTTTCCCTAATTGGGCTTAACTATCTGCCATATTTGTGTAATTACAACAATTTAAATTCATTCACTGGAACGCTTTTAACTGCAAGGATTTATGTGTATTTTCCACCACTGGGTAATTGTCAGTGACTGCGTGTGTTACATTTTCTGTAGGGTGCCACTCAAATGCATTAACTGGGTGGCGACAGCTGTGTATGCTGATTTATTCATAAGCTGTGTACTCTAATTAACCAGGATATCCAGACCAACACTTGAAGCAACCAGATCACTCATTTAACACCCAGATAATGCTCTCTCTCTCTCTCTAACTCACAGTCTCACACACACACACACACACACACATGCTGGAGACCCCAGGCTCCCTTCTGTACTGTACATACTGTTTTATGAGCAAAATGGAAACTCCAACAGACATTATCGTATGATTAAGAATGGGAATTAAGATTCAAGGAGAAGTCGAGCTAATTTGAAGTGGGTTTTGATTGTACTAATTATATAATCTTCTCCACTCCCACGTTTACATTCTGGTCCATTAAGAAAAATGTCTTGAGAGGGCATTGTGGTCTTATACTTCCTGTTTTATCTAGTTGAAAATGGCATTAGAAATGAAATTACAGCACTACATTTGCAATTTTGTCAAAAGCATTTATTTGTCATTATCATTTACTGAGGTGTGCTGCTTGCACTCAGACTATTAAACAGCTATATACAGTAGTGTCATTATCAGATAGTGAGGACCTAGAGACAAAAATGGAATCGTTGGTACCATTTTTATGTCACTCTGGTGCCAGAAAGTGTTATTCAGGTAATGGGTGCAATTTGAGGAGGCATTAGATTAAAACCTTTCAGCACTTAGCCACAATGCCAAACGAACTGCCTGCTTCCTTGTGGAAAATTGCGTCTTGTCTCAGTCAAACTGAAGGCGGACAAGAAGCGCATTAAGTGGCTTGTCTATGGAGTCTTACACCTTGTCTACACCAGCCTGTTACGGAAAAATAAGCGCGTCAGCAGCATTTCAGCAGCAGCTGCAGTCCTCTGCCGATGTCCACACGGGTGCATTGAGCCAAAGTGCTGCTGTGTGTTCAGTTGCATTTTGGCAGGAGTTGCAGCCCAATACACAACCGTGTAGTTCCAGGCAAGTCTGGAAATAATAGGCTTGAATGGTAAAGATATGCTTTGAGATGCAGTTATGTGTAAGTGCAAGTGCAACATGGGCTGTTATGAAGCTTGTGTTGACAGCTTTATTGGCTAAAGTAAAAGCCCAGTCATAAGATGATGTAGGCAACCTGTGACTTGAGAAAAACTCCAAAGTTTTTCATTGCCAGCTACTGATTTTATGTATGAGAGTCTTACTTTTACTTTGCTCAACCACTGCGCTCTTTCTAATTAGTTTAAGTGTCAGTTAATATTTTGTCAGTGCACAAAAAGAGCTACAATATCATGCTAAATCTATTTCTTCCATAACTCTGTACACTCATGTTTTCTGTATTGTTCTTCTGTAGATAACCACACAATGGCATCCTACTCGGCAGTGAGTATTCGGATTCTGGATGTAAACGACAATCCTCCTGAGCTGGCCACACCGTATGAAGCATCTATATGTGAAGATGCCAAGCCAGGCCAGGTAAGGTTATTCTTGATACAAACTTAAAATCAAACATTTCCATGTTCATAGAAACAATTTAAACTTCCTTTTTATCAAGTCATATTGAAATGACCAAAATTAATTTCTGATCACTGACCGCTAAGCAAGAAATCAATGATGTAATCCTGATCAAGTTACTGTAGCTTCAAAGGAGGATCTTCCATTATGTGCTAATGATAATAAAAGCAAATCTCTGCTGTACCAAAGTATTTATGTATTGTATTGTTAAGATAACAAAAAGAACAAAGAGAAAGACTTGTTCCAGTGCCACAAACGAACACATTACTTGTGTTTCATCAAGTTGAAAGGCCAGTAACAGCACAACAACACACAACCTACACAAGGGGCAACGCATTAATTAATATACAAAACTCAGTACTAATTATTGATGTGCAGTGAAATGAAGAGTACTCAGCTGTGGATAGTGGAACAGCAGTCATTTTGGCCGTCATCACACACATGAATCATAATCATACTGAAAGTGTTAGATCCAAACAGTCAATACCTAATAATAAGGGCAAAACATATCTCCATTCTGATAAATTGACACATTACACAAAGTGTTATTAGAAGTAAATATCCAGAAATAAAGGTGCATATATTTTTATTTAATTATTAGTCATCGGTTTATCTTCAGTGATTCACTCTTTCAGACAGAATGGACAAAGACTGAATTTTCATTTCTGACTGTATTCAGTTGACTGTATATAAAAGAATGACATAGCAACTAAGATGTCACCCATTATTGGCTAATGTTTAGGTGTTTCGCCATCTTGGTTTTTTTGAAACCAGAAGTGACAGACTACGGGATGGTCTGACTGAGATCTAACTGAGAACTCAAAGATAATATGTACGCCAATACTTGTCAATGACAAGGTAGCTCTGCCTCACAACAGATCCTACTATATTATCTGCTTTACTCTAAATGGGACCCTAATTTACAAAATAAACACCTTTCTGTATTGAAAGAGACTTGAAACTAGAGATTAAGACCATAAACTCACTAGAAAATGTTTACTGAAGTAATAAATCAAGTTAGAAGTAGATTCATTTTCTTATAAATGTCCATCCAGTCAGATTTCTCTTTGTAGCCAGATGAGTTTCCTCCTGCTGGCTGTTAGAAATAATGCAGGTTTATGGCAATTCTATGCTGGTTTCACTTTTCAGATCTGCAGGCTATGTTTATCTTCTACATACAGTCTATGCTACATTCTCACTGAAAATATTCAGTCAGAGGAACTATTTGAATCAACATCTCAAATAGAAGCAGGACTTCTAGCTTGTCTTGAAATTAATAACCCTTTCTGCTTGTAATTATAACAGGCAATGGTTTTAAATATAGTAAATGATGATGCATCATGTGTACTACCATCCTTCCATCTGCATCAGTCTTGATTTAGACATTTACGTCATGTTACTCAGGTGAAATAAGCATCAAAACTGATCATGAAACAGCCTTTCGGTATACACTGCACGACTGTCATCTACAATAATACATTTGAAAAGAAGCGATGAAACAGACTGAGAAATAAAACAGGGTGTTTTAATTATGGGTAACAAACAAAACAATGCAATATTTTAATGACACACACACAATAACATAACATATATATAACATTTTAAATGTAAAAACCACAAAAAGTATAAAGCAGGATGACAAAGCAGCAATAAGAGGAAATGTCTGGAATAAGAGAAGGAAATACTTCTTTGTCAGTATCAGAAATTACCATTGCTTTTGTTGTATAATAATCTACCAATGATAAAAAAAAAAAAAATTCTAATGTCAGTGCTCACTCTTTTTCGAGCTTTAGATCAAACAGTAAACTCTCTGCCTTTCTCAGCGACTGAACGCTACTCTGTTTCAATCTTCTGAGCGTAGGTCATTGGGTCTTGTGATAAAAGCAGGTGGTCATATATCCATCCTTGGCCAGAGAGGGTTTATGACCACACTTACGTCACATGATGAAACATGAGTAAGTTCCAGTCACTGAAGAAGGCCATAGGACTTGATGAAAACCTCCCCACATGTTCGTAAGCTTAAAATATTTTATCACAAATACTTCTGTATGTATTTCTTTTGTCCTTCTCATACTCGCAAGCCTATTTCTTGTCTGTATATGGCTCATTATTTCCATATTTTTGCTTGGGATTGCTTTCAGTTGCACACTGATCTGTTTGACACTTTATACCAAAGGCAATTTATAACTCAGCTTTAGGGCAAAGGCACAATTTACCCAAGAGTGCTGGTGTCAGAAACAGAACTGTTTTCCAAAGAATACATTTGTTTTCTCTTATTTTGCATGCTGGATGCCAATTAAAAAGTCAGTACGAACATATTTATTATATATACTTAGAGATAATAACTACAGATTTCAATATTTGGTGTCTTTTTATATCAGAAATGTCTGATAGTCTGCCTACCAAAAGCTTTCTACGTGTTAGTTAATAAGCTCTTCATTAAAGACATATGCATGTCTTTCATTTCAAAATCTACAATCAGAAAAATGTAGTTCTGTTTATAGTTGCTCTGTATCTTTTCTTTGTTGAACCATGTCATAGAAAAAGTAATACAGCGTTTAGCAAAAAGGATTATTATGATTCCTCCATGTGGCTGTTATTTGAGTTAATATGTGACAAGTCTGTTGGAAATTCTTTCATTGTGGAAGGGAAACTGATTGCTAATGTTTGATATAAAAGTGTTTTATAACACCCATCAGGACTGAGCCATAAAATAATATGACACTAAATAGCATTCAGACCATTCATTTATTTCCTAAATGGCAAACAGGTGAGCCCTCATAGAGCAGCAGGGGCAACCAAACAACAAAAGTGGGAACAAAATTAAATTCAAGAATGATTTTTTATGTGCATTATTACCCAGCACCAATCAAACAGTGGGAGTTGGTGTAAAAAAAAAAAATCAAGACAAAAGGTGCTGCTGTGGTTATTTTCAATCCAATAGGAGGCCAAGTCTTTCCACTGATCACCATTAAAAATGGACATAGTCATTAGGGTGTTTTATTCACCTTACATGGCCAACAGGCCCTGGGCTGAGTTAGACCCAATTATCATGTGCAGAGCAAAGGAATAATTAAAACAGCAAGGCTTTAAAGTGGGGCCTCCATGCTGGAAGCTGCATTTACATGTGTAATGAGGCTCAGGCCTCTCCTCCCCCTGATCCACAGACTCTTAACCACTTATAGCCCCCCTGTGCCTCTGCAATGCCGGCAGTCTGCGCCTTTCTAGAACGTTGTCTGGTCTGATCTCCCTCACTCCCACCTCGCTCCCTTTCCCATCTGCGAGAGCCCACATTAACCTTCAGCTCCTAATCACACAGAGATGATTAGTCTTCCAGCAAAAAAGATCATTGCTGGCTCCCAGCATTGTAAAAGAAAAGGTTTTTTAATGTTCTCATTAGAGAGAAAAGCAGTGAAAATATTTCACACTGTAATTACGAACCAAAGTACATACAGGAGAATATGACATTGTAGCAGCTTTGCTGTCTCTACATCTGTCAGTCTGTCCGTCTATCTGTGTGTATGTCTGTCCATCCATCCATCCATCGGTTTGTTCTTCATCAAAGGCAGTCTATCTACAGTGGTTCGACAAATGACAGTAACATCTGACAATATCTGTACATTTATGTTCATTTCTTGCTCGATTTTTGTAACACAACTTTTGTCCTTTCTCTGCAGAGCCTCTTTTTATATGTTGTTATGAGGAGCTCTGTCTGAGCCGACTGCAGAGACTGAATGAAAATGTTTTAGCCTTGGGTCAAAGGCTTTCTAACGCTCATTTTCAGCCTCAGGGGTAACCACTGGGGGCATGGGGGAAACAATTTTCTTCTCCTTGTTATTCTCATAGATAATAAAAAAAAAAAATGTTTTCCTCCAGTTGTTGTCATTCACAGCATCTTGAAAAATGGAGTGAGTGGTGTGAAGAAACTGTTTTGTGTATAAGGATTTACTGTGTTTCAAGAGCTGATATTTGTAGGCTTTAGTTTGTGATTAATGGCAGAGATGGAGCTTTTCCATTGTTGAATATCTCCTCGACAATCAGTAAAATTTTGACTGACAACACCCTAAAACCCATGGATGCTGACAGCACTACCCCTGTGTAAAACCCTTTGGTCGTTTCAAAGGTAATCGAGTTGCTTGGCAAGTGTCTGGTTTGAACAATTTGGCCCACACTTCGATATTGAAGCACTTGCCCCATTTTGTGTGTGTGTGTCTTGTCAAGAAATGACGACACACCATTCTTTTTGGAATGACATGCGGTAGAGCCGCTGCATGCACACAGTAGGTCTGGGAATTTGGAACACAAAAACTTATGTCAAAAATCCTTTATGAATCCCTGCCATTGATAAATTGATGCAAATTTCACTCTCCTCCATGTGGCTATGCAGCAGAAGCTCTGTGCCTCTTTCTGAATGCTTCCACAAACCTGCAAACACATGCACACAAACTTCTGCACCACCATAACTAATATGCATGATTTTGCATAGGTGGACTAATGTAGTCCAATTCATTATGTGTCTTTCCTGACATACTACGCTCTTTATTAATTCATACAACAACAATGGCACACAGCGCAACTTAATTAATTATTACCAATAATGTGATTCAGTAGTCCATAATAAACTGAACTGTGCAATCATTAGGCCTTCATACAGGCCTGGTGTAAAAAAGAATTAAGTGTGCATTCAAATGGAAATCAGGGTAAAGCCAACATCACAGTGAATTAAAAGACTGACTTCAGTTAAACATTTAACAAATAAGGATACAGCCACTTACTATCAACGTTTCCAGAACCATCTTCACGTGGCATCTGTATGAAACAGAATTCATTTTAGCAGATAATGTAAAATAAAATATCACTCATTGTCTTTTTCTTACAAAATCTTGTTCATCTGACAGCAGCTCTGTGGATCTACAGCAATAGCAAAACTGTCAATGAAGACAATACATCTAAAGAAGTCA